AGAAAAAGGCGTCAATGACGTCGCACTGCTTCTTGGGCAGGTCTTTGGAGACGACGTACTCAGACTCCTTTACCAAAGAATAGTAGGAATCCAAGGGATTTCTTAGGATCAAGAATCCACTCCGTGCGTTCCGCACTCTCTTGGTGTCCCCCAAGACAGCTTCATCCAGAAGCGATGACGAGTTTATCTTCTTGTCTGGTCGTACAATGACCACTTCGGCCAAATCGCCAGCGCTTAAGGCGCTGCCAAACTCTTCAAGAGACATCTCGTCCAGCTCAAGAACAGCATCTACTGCAGGCATAGCCTCGAGGCTGACGTCGCCATCTTCCTCCCCCGTCATTCCGTTGACGAAGGTGTATAACTGTGCGCCATCGTCTACGGTAAACACACACTGGATCAGGGTCGACGCCCGGCGTCTTGCAGCCAGCATACGGCGTCGCCCTCGCCTCTGTACAGAGGTTCTTTGTCTCGGTGAGACCAGGGTGAACACGCACTCCGCATCGTCTGGTGTCACCCTCACTTTCCGCTTCTTTGGAGCTCCGATGTTATCTACAACATCCGACGAGCTGCTAACCCCGCAGTCTTCGTCTAGTGGATTACGTGTCACTCCACGCGCATGCCTGGGACTCTTTCCGACTACGCCATCAATGGCATGCAGCGACTGCTTCGCAACGAAAGCAGTGCTCAGCGGTTTACGTGCAGCTCACCTGCATCACGGGGGCCTCGCTCGGGACTCCTGTCCTATACACTGTTGGTGCCTACCAACTCGAACATTCCAATGTACAGCACGTTGACTGTCTCGGTCCGGTGCTCTCGCCAATAGCGCTTTTGTCTCCTAGCAGAGATGAGTTCAAGACTCGCCAAAGCCCCACCGGGAGACGTGCGCGTGGCGCCCAGGTCTTTCACCTTCAATCAATCCATGGCTCATGGTGTTCCAATTATTCCATTCCTAGATGAGGTCATACCTTGCATCCAAGTCTAAGACTAGACAGCGTTTCACGCTATCCAAGTCAAGGAGCTTGACTCCGAGGTCCACAGGGACCTTCGGGACCGCGACACGTGTCCCCGTCGCTAGGAGAACAGTGACGATGTCATCCAACCGCGCTTTCAGCGCCTCAGCATACAGCTGACTTTCTTCGATCGTGAAGCGTCGAGCATAATTGCCCGACGCCCCGGAATCTATGAGGATCTTCCACGGATTCTCGAAGCCCTTTACGGTCGCCTCTACGACCAGCAAGCCGGCTTGCATACACGTTCCGTGTTCAAGAGCACGGAGGTCTTCGGGGCTGGGCCCTGTTGACCTATGCCTCCCTGAGGCTC